TCTTCTTTCAACAGTCGTACTATACAGTTAACGTTTTCCTTAACCAACCAAGAGCAAATACACTGCACACGTTACACAGTCCTGATACTAAAGCTTACAGATGACAGTCTATTCAGAGCCAGATAGAAAATATTCTATACTCTGTGGGCCATTAGTGCTTGTAACAACTACTCAACTCTGCCATTATAGTGCAAAAGCATAATCAGATAATACATAAACACATGGGTGTGACTTTTTTTTTTTACCCCCTCCCTGTGTTCTAATAAAATTTTATATATATATAAAGTAACTGGCCCATAAGCTGGGGTTTGCTGACCCATGGTCTATCTACCAGAAGCAGATCATCTAGTACCTTCATCTTCTTTCCTGTCCCCAACACCTACAGTCATAAGAAAGCTTCTCTTTCAGTGAGCCTTTAGTTTTTTTTTTTCCAATGGAGAAACTTTTTAAAACACTGCCAGGACGGTACCAGGAGCTAGCTACAGTTCCACTCTCCATCAGGTTATTATAAAGTACATCCACCAAGGACACACTTGCTCCAAGTTACCATATAATAAACTTAAAGGGTAGGAGGTGGGAAAGAGATGTATTGTACATGAAAGACAATTCCCCAGCTGCCAAGAAGGTCTGGGTCTATATTCCTGACAAGTGACAATAGGGGCGAACAAATGTTTACCAACCGAACAAATCCAGTTTTTTGTCCTAGCTGGTTTTTTTTTTTTTTTTAATTTTTTTTAATGTTTTATTTATTTCTAGGAGAGAGACAGCACGAGTAGGGGAGGGTCAGAGAGAGAGGGAGTCATAGACTCTGAAACAGGCTCCAGGCTCTGAGCTGGCAGCCAGCACACAGCCCGACGCGGGGCCTGAACCCACGAACCGCGAGACCATGACCCAAGCGAAAGTCGGACGCCCAACCGACCAAGCCACCCAGGCGCCCCCGTCCTAGCTGTTTTTTTAGTGAGGACTTGATGTTTACTGGGGGGCCTTGCTTGCCTTGAATTAATCAGTAAAGAGTTCACTTTAGGTCAGTAAACTCCAAGATTAGCAACCAAGAGCTCAATATGAAAAATATTCGCTACGGGAAATGCATGCCCCTCTGCCCCCCCGCCAAGCCTCAGCTTCATTCTCTAGCAATACCACTGGTTCAACACCACACATTAACTTCAAGCTGGGAACTAACTGTATCCTGAAGAAAGAATGAGAGCTTTGGGTATGATTTTCCTCAGGTCTAGGAAAACTCTTAATACTCAAATGGTTAAGAAAGAAGTTCTCTTAAAGAGACACATCTGAAGAGAAAGGAGATCCAAAACGGCCTGATCTAAATCTATTGCTATTCCCACAAGCTCATCCCAGAAAGAGTAGTTCGAGAGGACTCTGACCCTGGAGTCTGACAATAAAATTGAAGGACAGAGGGTACCTCTTAGGCTCTCCCCCCAGTATCCAGGTTTGTTGGACCTTCCACAAACCATGGGTTACTTCACTAAGCTGGGAACACTTCTGATGAGCACTGTGTGAACAAGGCTTGCCCTGAAGGCAAGGCAGGCACATAGGTATACTTTTGTATAGGTGTCCAGCTCTCCAGTGTTAGCTCAGAAAGTCAGAAAATTCTAGCTTTCCTCTAAGCAGCAGACCTAGAATACCATAGCGTGCTTTAAATATGCAATTAGAATTAGTCCCACGATGGAAGAGAACTCAAGAAGGCCCTTCTCCAGGTAACACTAGAATGTCTTCCCTTCCAAAGAACTAAAGTACCTGTAGCTATAAAAAGCCCGGGGTTCATTCCAAGCAAAGGAGGGTTCCACCCCCATGTTGAGGGCTAAGCTATACCAGGGACACCTGGCTTCTGAGCCCAGGAGAATAAACTCAAAAGAGGCAGCAAGAAGACAAGAGGAGCCAACTGGGTAGGCCTTGAGAGCCACTTGCTAGGCTCTGGTCTGTAACAGAAACCACAGCTCAATGCTCTCTTTTACAGGGGCCAGTAGGTTCCCTCAGCATTCCTTCCTTCAGTCTCCATTCCTTATCAATCTGCCCGCTTCTGGTAATAAGAACTACTTGCTTACAGAAAAAAGAAACCAGTGTATTTTGAAACAGAATAGGAATCAAAGGTCCATCCAGAAGAACTTGGTTCTTTTCAAATGGCTTTGAAAAATTAATTGTTTTGGGGTGCCTGGGTGGCTTAGGCAGTTAAGTGTCTGACTTCTAATCAGGTCATGATCTCAAAGCTGGGAAGTTTGAGCCCGGCGTCGGGCTCTGTGCTGACTGCTCAAAGCCTGAAGCCCGCTTCGGATACCAGGTGTCTCTCTCCCTCCCTCTCTCTCTCTCTCTCTGCCCCTCCCCAACTTGTGCTCGCACTTCTCTCTCTCAATAATAAACTTTTAAAAACCCTCTTAAAAAAAAAAAGTGTTTTGAACATTTTTGGTTTTAATTGAGCAAGTAAAACAAATACTCTCATGATAAAAACAGTTCCTGGGTGCCTGTGTGGCTCAGTCGGTTAAGCGTCAGACTTCAGCTCAGATCGTGATCTCACGGCCTGTGAGTTTGAGGCCTGCGTCAGGCTCTGTGCTGACAGCTCAGAGCCTGGAGCCTGCTTTGGATTCTGTGTCTCCCTCTCTCTCTGCCCCTCCCCCGCTCTCTCTCAAAAATAAACAAACATTAAAAAAATTTTTTGGCAGCCCATCAAAATTTTCAAACAAAAAAACAGTACCAACAGTATAGGTAAAGCCAAAGTGTCCCTTTGCTCTCTTTCTGCTGCCCTCAACTGAAGAACCCCTGCTCAACTTGGTGTATATCCTTGGAGATCTTCCGAGGAACTTAGGAGGGGGACAAAAAAGGAAAAAACCCAACAACAAGCCACCAGACACTGCTACAGGTTGGGCAGGGCCTATGGATGCTCCTTTAGCCACAACTTCTGTTAAAAACCAGGCTCTCCACAGACCCACAAGTGAATGTGCTAGTCCAGCTGAGACCCCAGGAGCTTGAAGAAAACATCAGCAGCCCCTGTGACAGGGCTCTCAGGACCCTGGAGGTACCAGTGGTGGCAGTGCAGAGGCACTCTGAGGAGTGCTGTCAGTTTTGGTAAAGTACCCTGAGCTCTTTGGAGGAAAAGTGCTAAATAAACCACTGTCAACAGCAGCCCCACTTGGGCTGGGATGCCAGAGCACTGAATAATAGTAGGGACTGAAGCAGTACGAGAATTTTCTTATCTCTCTGATTTAGTTGGTTGGGAGGCCAATCTCTCAAACTGTCATTTCCAGCAGATGGCAACTGGTCAGCACGGGGGTAGTTGATTTAAAAATAAATAAATAAATGATTTTTTTTTAAAGGACCCCAATGTTAGCATAGGAAGAGACAGTTCATTTCCCATTTGAGCACATATGCCGTGCCAGGCACTTTATGGAATCCCTTCATTTCCTACCACTCTCCGTTAACACCGTTAACATGTGAGGATGAGCACGCGGATGCCAGAGTGATTGGGTTACATGTCCAAGTCATCCAGCAAGTAAGTGGCAGTCACGAGGTTGTGAACCCAGGTCTGCTGAACTCCAAAGCCTGTATGTTCTCTCGCTCTCTCTCTCCATCATGCTGTGATACTATATGGACTGAGGGAAAATCGCCACACCTCTGTGTTAGGAGACCAAGGCCTAGTTCTTGGCACTTATCAGTTGTTGCCTTGGACAAAAGCTGGCAACAAGCTGGGCTTGATTTTCGCAGTTATACAAAGGAGGACTGGACACATCTGAGTTTGGGGTACCCCTGGGGCCTATGCATACAAGTCCACTGGCACCATATGGTTGGGGCCATATGGAATGTGCAGTTACTAGCAGTAACACCCTGGAATGAGAGATATGACAACACATGAGCCGCATAAGATCTAAGACATATCAATCAGTCTCAATGGCTAATCACAGCAAATGTCTTTATTGGGAATCAGGAGGGACTTGTTGGGGAGAAGACTCCAAAAGAAGTCTCTCCCCTCTATCTACACACATAGATACTGCCCTGAACTCCATGTCCCTTTATTGCACGGGACACACCTCTGCTTTCTACCCTACAAAAAGCCAGTTTTTCAGGTCTTTTGTTCCACAAAAAGCCGGATGTCTGGTTGTTGAGTCAGACCTCAATGTGCCGAGCAAGTCTGGCTTTCTACAACACACCTCTCACACAGGCAGAGTTCAATCAACCCAAGCCCCTATTCTCCCTGGTGGGGGCCACTTTTAGCATCTCAAAACTCAGGGTCTCAATTCTTCCTAACGGGCCCACCTAACAGGTACCTTCCAGGAGGTCTACTAAAAGAACTGCCCCCTAAGTGATGTCTCTTAAGTGGAAAGATCTCTTTCCCCGGCGTTAGCTCTCTTCCAAGCATAATCCTGCTGAGAGACGGGAGGTGAGGATCAGCCCACTCGGTGCCCTGCCAGTTCCAAGGAAGCAGCAGGGCCAGGGAGAATTTCCTCACGTGTTTCCAACGTGTTTCATGCATTTTATTGCTCATCTACCATGCAGATCAAAAGCGCTGGAGCAGGTCCAAGTATTTCACACAGAATCTCACACTCCAGGCTGGCTACAGCCCCGAAAGCCTTCGTTTCTTCACTTGAAATACTGCCCAATGTTATTTTGGGATGTGACCTGATAGAGGAAGCCCACAGGGACTCCATGACGATAACCGTTCCAGCTGTGATTGGTTGCCCAGCCCCAACAAGTGCCAGCATGGGTTTGTCAGGCTCTGCTGACAAACAGAACTCGGCAGCTAACACCTTCTCTTCACACCACAACAAAACCATGCCTGAAATCACACAGTCCATACCTCACGGGGGGGCGGGGGGGTGCAGCCAGTGGAGTGCGCTCACAGGAAGGGCTGCGAGTTCTAACATGAATTGACTTGCCTGATGAAGTATTTTCAAAGCAGGAAGATACCAGATCAGGGTTAGAGAAGGGGGGTTCAAACAATCTCCTGTCAGAGCCTCGGGATGACATCAGTTCATTTTGCTGCGCAGATTAAATAACATCAACAGGCAAGTCTCAAGAACACGCTCGAGGAAATGCTCAGATTCAGGGTTTTCTCATACATTTGGCTGAATCCTTGAGAAATGGAGCTTTTGTTAACCCCCAGAAGGAGTTTTTGTCTTCTTTCAGTTGAGAAGAGCTTTTGCCAAGTTGTGTAGACTACTGGTGAGGAAACCACCCACCCAAGAGAGCCAGGTAAATCCTACATACACACTTATAGGGTGTGTGTGCTGGGTGGGGGCGGGGGGAACCTTGCAGTGCAGCCACACTCACTTAAATGACTTTTCCTTGAATGAAACAGCCTAAACACACAGCCTGAAATGACCAAATCTGCACTGGCATTTGTCAAGTGTTGTTCCGGGAGCGCACCTAACAGATCCGAGGCCATGGCGGGCGGCTGCTCCCGTGCTGGAGCATGGGAGGAAATCCTGAAGAACACAGAAAGGGCTGGGAGACCTGACTCTTGAAGAAAGGCAGACAGCAGGGAAGGAGGCAAAAGCTTGGACAAACTTCAAGGAAAATGGGAGTATGGCAAACTTAATTACATAGGAACTACTTAAGGCAAGTGAGTTGGGGAGACCTCGTTTTCCAGAAAAACTTCCTTAAGCAACTCGACTGTCAAGTGTCAGGGGACAAGAGGCTACCTCAAACGCTTCTAAAAAAAAATCCACTATAATAAAGCTTCAGTTGTACATTCTGTTTTCCTGTCTTTGGTAAATGGCAGAAAGGGTGATATGACCCACCACAGATTGGTAGGGATTCCAGAGTTGCTGCCATCCCCGCCCAGAGAGCAGGCTAGCTGGTGCTGGCTGGAATGCCAAGTACAAATTAATACACAGAACAAGCTGCCTCTTACTACTGGTGGTACTTTCTTTTCTAAAATTTTTAATGTTTATTTAAAAAAAATTTTTTTTTAATGTCTTATTTATTTCTAGGAGAGAGAGAGAGAGAGACAGTGTGAGCAGGGGAGGGTCAGAGAGAGAGAGGGAGTCACAGACTGAAACAGGCTCCAGGCTCTAGCTGGCAGTCAGCACAGAGCCTGACGCGGGGCTCGAACCCACGAACCACGAGATCATGACCCAAGGGAAAGTCGGATGCTTAACCGACTAAGCCACCCAGGCGCCCCTTAATGTTTATTTTTGAGCGAGCAAGCAAGAGAGACACAGAGGGAGACATAGAACCTGAAGCAGGCTCCAGACTCTGAGCTGTCAGCACAGAGCTTGACCGGGGCTCGAATTCATGAACCACAAGATCATGACCTGAGCCAAAGTTAGATGTTTAACCCACTGAGCCACTCAGCAACCCCATACTGGTGGTACTTTCAAGTCAGGGGCTAAGTAAGCAAAGTGATTAAGAAGGGGAAAGGCAAGGCAGAGGGGATGGCACCATCATTTTAGCTTAGGACAAAACACCATCTCCTGCTTGAACAACACCCACTGTTTGGAATGGTAGAAACTGCTCTGGGAAAAGCTAAGAGAACTAGATTTCCTAACCCCTACCCCAAGTTTCCCAAAACCCCCCACCAAACTCCCTCTTCTCTTTTTCGACAATAGGCTATTGTTCTGGGGATAAGGGGACATTTCTTCCTGGTACCTTCTGGCTGCCCAGTAAAGAAGGGTCAGAACTCTTCTGGTCTCCAGAATGCTTTTTGGGGGCCCACCTCCAAGAGGAAACCCCCTATATATACACACACCAGAAGTCATAAATCAAGCTCAGGGAGACCAAATCTCCAAATTCAAAGGATGCTGGTAAGAGGGATAAAGCAAGTCTCTTTGTAACTCCCTTTTGAAGGGAAGCAGAACTGACACAAATATGTGACTCTCGTGTGTCTAACTCTCAGGTACGTGGCTGACTCACAATCATCTTCTGATACAGGCATCCTCCGTGTTTTACCAAAGCAGGAGCTCAGAAGTTAAATGACTTGCCAAGGACAAAGAGCTATTAAACAGGAGAACTGGAGCTCAAACCCACGGTCCTCGGATTGCAGAGCTTGTGCTCTTTCTACTGTAAGGGGGAAGCTTGCCACCGTGTGAGGCGAGGCTCCACGCTCCACACAAGGCCTGGTGACAACCTGTCTCTGGGCATGCTGAGCAACTACCTCCATGGCTCTAACAAGTTAACGTCACTAGGCCTTGCCTGGCTCCTCTGTAGAAGGGAAGACTAAAACTAGAGAAGTTAGCTCTACTAGTCTGCAATGCCACGTAGTCCCCTCATTCCTAGCCGCTCTTCCTAGAAACCATTCTTCCCCTCTAGACCTTCTTTCATGGTTAATTTCAAATTGGCCCTTTCATCTAGAACTCTCTGAATTTAAACTTACCTTTGCTAAAGGGTACAGTACTTTTTCTCACCTCTGGGCCTTTAGAGGGGTACTTAATATACAGGCGGTAGGGGGAAGGAGAGAGTGAATGAGAATCTAGGGAGAGGGGCAGGAAGTTGAGTCCCATGAAGGTAGGTGTCTGGTCTCTGCTGGTATTCGTACTGAATGTGCTCTAATACTAGGATCAAGCACAGGGGTGTGGCCCAGAGAGAGAAGTCAAAACATGCCTGGCCTCTAGATGGCCTCATCTCAGGCGATTTCAAACCCTGACCCAGCCCTGCAAGCAAGCAAGCTTAACCCCTGCCCACAGCTGCTCTCCAGCAGGGGGGCACCAGAGCTCTCCTCTCACACAGCCGGGTGGCCCATTTCCCAGCCACCAAAGAGAAGTGGGTGAGAAAACCAATTACTTGAAGCTACAGGTGCAGCAACTCTGGAGTAAAACCATTTATTTTTTGAGTTGGAGACTTCAAAGATAAGAACAGCTTTGTGGGAACAAAGCCTCCACAGTCCCAGCACGACTCCTCTGGCCCTTCACCCTCACCCCACGGGCGATGCTCAGAGTCCCTCCGAGGGCTCCTCTTGACCTGTGCGGCAAGACTGGTGGCACTGTGTTGAATCTGCTTGTGGGACCAGAGCAGGACCAGGCTGAATCCTCCTCTGTTATTAGTGACCAGAAAAATGCCAGGCACACAAAAAGACAACATGCTTCATAAATATTACTCAATTAATAAAAGCATCCTCTTTAGACCCAGTCTCTATTAGTCTTCTCTCTTTCGTTTAACCTTCACCCCCTCAGTAATCCCATACCCGAGCTCTAGACCTCCACATGGAGGGAGAGACTCTTGGATGCCAACATCACGGGAATGAACCCTCCTGTCTAAAACTGCCAAGTACAACCCCGAACAGGCCCTGACCACTTGGGCAAGAGCTCCTGACAGAACTGCAGTGCAGAGAAGGAACGCCTGGAAAGGAGGCTGTCGGGAGGTGGGGCTCTGTGTCACTGGAGAAATTTCAATCTAATTACAAAAATGTAAGAACCTGCTGTTCTAATCCACCTCGGCAAAATCTCTTGAGGTAGCTCTGACCCTCTGGGTGGGGGCCGAGGGCGTTTCTGAGGTGAAATGGGGGGGTGGGGGGGAGACCGTGGGGCTGCCTGCGCTCCTGCGGCGGGAGCCCCTGCAAATGGCAGCCTGGGCCACTGCAGCAGCCATTGATTTTCCAGGGGTCGATCGATATTCTGCTCCCACAGATCTGCTTGGCTAGAGGTTTAATCACACTGAGTGCTTCTGCTCAACATCTCCCTTGCATTTCCCCCTCCCCAAACCAATAAAACAAACACCAAACCCAAGGAGAGCCAGCAACGGGTAGATGGTGCTCCCCACAGCTGGCCCTCACCCCCAGAAAAATTCTGAATATCAGCCCCGAGGGAGCCAAAGCTACATGGGCAGTCTGCAGGAAGCTGCGGGGACAGACCCACAGGTGCCAGGGAACCTTTTAACCCACTGCTCGACACTCCCATACAGACTCTTCTAATAATCCCAAGATTTTACATTAAAATCCCTGGGGAACCTGGGTAGTTTAGTCCATTAAGTGTCCCAACTCTTGATTTTGGCTCAGATCATTATCGCATAGTCCTGAGATTGAGCCCCATGTCAGGCTCTGCGCTGACAGTGAGGAGTCTGCTTGGGATTGTTTTCCGGTGTGTCATAGTCCCCACCAGGAGTGTGTAACACCATGTTACCTACCTAACCAGCCTTTGGACACACCCCCCCTCCCCTGCAAAGGCTTCTTTCTCACTTGGGCCAGGAGAGAATGTCTTAACTAATGAGAAATCACCTCTTGGCCAAAAATGTACAGTGTTTTAAGGGTCACTAGCTAATGGACTCAAATCTGAAAGAAAAAAAAAAAAAAAGAAACTGGGTCAGAGCTGGGCCTGAGTCAGAGCAGTCAAGAACAGTGCATATTTCTGGAATAGGGCTGTTCTAATCCCAGCAGGAAACAAGTGCTGTAAAGCTTGAGAAAGCAAAGAAGTTAGGAACTCCCTACTTTCTGTTAAGCATTTTCTGTTTGGAAAGCCAACCACATAGACCTTGTTCCACCATGATCATCAGCTGAAATCCTAGAACTTGAGCAAGGAGGAGGTGGGGGAGGGAAGAGGAAAGAAGCACAGAAAAGAAGGCAGAGTTCTAGATAGGAGAAGTTTAAGGGAGGGGCGCCTGGGTGGCTCAGTCAGCCTGGATGACTCTTGATTTCAGCTCAGGCCATGATCCCAAGGTCCAAGTCTTTGTGGAACCTGCTTAAGCTTCTCTCTCCCTCTCCCTCTCTCAAAAAGAAAAATGGGTAAGGGAGAAGGGGTGTGGCCTCAGGCTTCCACCTCAAGCAGAAAGCAAGCAAGGATGCAATGTGCACAACTAGGGAAGGCAAGGCTGGCTCAGTGCCGCACACAGCTCAGACAAAGGTCTAGGGAGCTCCAAGGCCACCTCCGTTTGGTATTTAAACCCCCCAAATTTATATTTGCCAGTGGTCTTCTCTACCATGGCCTACTGGTCTAGATAAAATCCAAAGATTTGGGGGAAGGTATGGAACAAACAGATCTGAGAGTAGAGAATGGATAGCGTCTTAACCCAGAAAAGACAGCCAGCTATCTATTCCAAAGGCCTGAAAACCAGAACTCTGAACATAGGGAGAGAGACAGTCAAGTTCTAAAAGTAAAAGATGAGGGGGGGAAAAATATCCAAATATTCTTTTTAAAAATTTAAGTATTAATTTTTATTTTTGAGAGAGAGAGTGCGTGCGTGAGTGCACATGCAAGCAGGGGACGGGCAGAGGATCCAAAGCAGGCTTCGTGAGAGACCGATTTGGGGCTTGAACTCACAAACCAGGAGACCATGACCTGAGCTGAAGTCTGACACTTAACGGACTGAGCCACCCAGGCGCCCCAAAACCAAATAATCTTAATAACAGTTTCTCTGAACACTGATCCCATCTATTTGGAACTTGATTCTTCTCCTACCTTCCCCAGAATGTCAGGAAATTACCTTCACTTATCTCAGTAAACAATACTCAATATTCCTCCCACATCAAAGCTTGTCTTAAGGGACAGGTTCGCTGGCTCTCAGCTTGAGCCTTCCACTCTTAGTTTCCACTTCCAACAAGACATGGCTTCTGAGCTTCCTTGGGAAAGGTCAAATGGGAAGCAAGCTAGGCAGCTTGGAGGTGAGCTCCACCTCATGGCAATCAGAGACTATGTCACAATACCAGCCAATTCCATGCCGACAGCAGGTGGGTAGGATGGAAGAGGTTCAGGCTGTGGAAGTGGATGGAGCAAGAGAGTAAGCACCGGTCCCCAAAGGCTGAACACCAAATATCTTAGAAATATGAAGAAAAAAAAAAAAAAGACAACAGAACTAATTCTATGCTTGATTTATCAGGTATGTTAACAAAGCTCATACCCAGGGATCCTCCCCTCTGGACCAAGTTTGGCAGAACAGATTCTCCCTCTGGTGTAGGGGGGGCCCTCGTCGTTTCTGAATTATAGCATTTCTAGGAAGACTTGGTCACGCATCTGGGGGCTGGATGTCTGCTTTTGTTGGTCTTTTTGGGGAAGGACGATGGCAGAAGCCAGGGCATGTACTTCACTGAGGTAATCATCCAAACAGCTTGCAGAAGGTTATAAAAGCACCAATAGGAGAGACAGGGAAGTGGGGTGGGGGTGGGGGGGGGGTGGAAGAGAGCCATGGTCACCAAGGCAACGGAGTTCATCCATATGTTGACTCAGGAATTGTAGGAAATTCTGGTTTTTGAGGTTTCTTCCAATCAGAATATTTCCTACAGCTTCCTGGAGAGTAGATCTAAATCCAGAAGCTACAGTATCACTACCTTTGCCTAGAAATCTCAACCCCACATCTCTACATACCTCTTCCTTCCTTTTCTCCAAAGAAGAGAATATGGCATTCTTCCTTCTCTTAAAGAAGTTTTTTTTGTTTGTTTGTTTTGGTTTTTTGGTTTTTTTTTTTTTTTTTTTTTTTACCGATCCTTTAGAGGAATTGGTCCTAATAGTAAAAACACTGGAATAGAAGTTAGGAAACCCAATGTTCTCATTTACTGAATGACCCTGGACAAGTCCTTTACCCTTTCTGGGCCTTAGGTTTCTCATATGTAAAGTGAGGGGTCGGGGAGCATAGTGTTTGTGTTAGTGTGGTGAATATTCTGTGGCCTAGCTCATGCTGTCTCCATTCTTCTCTTTTCCTAACTGTAGAGGTTAAAAAGCTAAAAAAACCATAGTTTCCAGAATCCCTTGTGGATGGGTTTAAATACAATTCAGGTTCTCCTAATTAGGAGCAAACTCGAGATTAGATCAAAGAATGGCAGAGACCATAGTTCTGTCTCCTTCACTTGTTTCTGCAGCAGCATTTTGGCTTCCTCTTCCAGTAAACTGGATGCTGGTTCTGGCAGCAGCAGCTGCTCTTTCTCGACTCCAGCTCGCTGATCCCTGGATAGCAGACTTAAAGCAATTAATCTGATAGTGGCTCAAAGGTAGGAATTTCCTTCTGGAGGACAAGTCTAGAGCATGCTTCCTCAATCTTTCCAGCAAGTTTGCAAGCCCAATTCCCTATATGAAATTCCTATCAAACATACCTAGGCCTCGGGTTCAGTGTAGAAAGCACTTGATCTGACACAGGATTATCAGATGATCCCAAAAGAATCGTTATGAAGGAGAGAGAATAGAATTATTCACAAGGCCTACTCTCTGCTAAGCCATCATCTTCTGAGGGAAATGGGCAAGATGTAAGAGCATTAGAACATTAAAATATATTTGTCCAGAACAATCTCCTTCACTTCTTCCTCTTTTTTCTTTTCCCTCCACAACCTCCCTGTACTTTCTCCCTCCCACTCTAACCCTAGGGTGGGGGTGGGGGTGCTGGACTGCTCACACAGGACAGAAGGTTGAGTCAGCACATGCTTTCTTTCCATCTCTATACTCTCCGCAAGCTATCAGTCTGCTGAGGATAGCATTACCTGCCCAACCCCATATAAGTATTCTCTGGACTTTAGAGAAGGTTTGGGCTAGAAAGGGCACCAAGTGTCTTTGGCAGCAGCAGAAAATGCTTACAAGCTCAAGGTGAAAGAGAACCAGTCCTGACAACCCTGTACAGCTGAGGGGTGAAGACAAGTTTGGCTGCAAAAAATCCCAGCTCATCTTCTTATAGCAATTTCTGCTCTAAGCAATGAGCCACCAGCTTCCTGTAGCAGGACTGGGGACAAACTGAAGAACAAGGTCAAATCCAACAGGTACAGTATGCTTGATGGGAAGGAGGTACTTCCCCACCAGTCCTCAGGAGGGTTAACGGACCCCAGGAGCAGTAGAAGTAAGGCTCAGTTAGTTTTCAGACTGAAGTTGTTCCGAAGAAAACAAAAGGTTCTAGCAAGAGGAATCTGTGTGAGACACACAGGCAGGAAGCAGAGCTGAAGCCACCAGCGACTAGAATAGAAACAGGAAATGGGCCCAGGAACAAGCATACAGTAATGTGCTGCTCGCAGCACAGGCTCGGGCAGGCACCAGGCAGTATCAGGGCTGGAGCAGCGTGACTGAGACGGAGAAGCGGGTTGGCTAGCCCCGCCAGAGAACAGGCGTTCTACAGAAGGGGTGGCTACTTGCACATGGTACACGCTGCTCTGAGCAGTCTGAGCAGAAATGACGGAGGGGGTGGGGATTTCCTTTCTGAGACTTTTGAGAGCACCTGGGCTACAATTCAAGGGGAGCAAGTGCAGACACACAGTCAGATATAAAGAAAACAGGTCACCAACCTCAGAAAGGCCCAGCTTCCCTGAGTACCAAAATTGCTGATGGCATTTTTGTTAGCCCCTTGAAAATAAGCCATCAAAAGCCTAGGCAAAAACTGTTGGCCTGTTTCCTTTCACCATGAAATGTGACAAAAGGCAACACAGTGTAAAATTTAAATCCTTCAAGCATTCCAATTCTTTGAGCCTTCAGAGGATTTCTGTCACTCCCCCCAATAAACATAGATGACAAAAAGCTGGCCCCCAAGCTCACGTGGGCATCAGGAGCCAAGGGCTGCTCAGCACAGGTGCTAGAGGCAGACTGGGTCCCTGAACAGAGGCGCCTGCACTATGCCAAACCAACATGAAGAAACTGGGGAAGAAGTCCCAGGGAAGTACTGAAGCTAGATTTTGAAGCCAAAGTAAGAGTCTGCCAGGTATTAAAGAGAGAGAGGGAAGGTGAGTGGGCAGTCATCTTAAGCAAGAAGACAATGGCAGGAAGGACTGGGAGTTGTGAAGAGTTTGAGGCGGAGTGGCCCCGGAGACAAGGCTACACAGGTATGCTGGGAGCTGCGGGTGGTCCCACAATGAGGTCTGGCCTGGAGGCACAGAGAACCAGGGCCCCCAAAGCACCACAAAACAGCTGGTGGTGGTCTTCCATTCACACCCTGCCCCCCCTCAGAGATTAATATTTCAATTTTGCTAGACACAATCAGTATAATTCATTGTATTCCAAAGTCCCCAAGCTTGATATTTCATTTGAAAATTTTACTCTCAATTCTCAGGATCTAACTCCTTGCTGCTGCTGCTTCTTTTATGTTTATTTATTTATATTGACAGAGAGAAAAAAAGGCAGAGAGAGGCAGGAGAGAGTGATTATCCCAAGAAGGCTCTGCACTGCCAGCACAGAGTCAGACTCTGGGCTCGATCTCAGGAACCTTGAGATCATGACCTGAGCTAAAATCCAGAGTCAACCAGATACTCAACCAACTGAGTTACTCAGGCGCCCCCGAACTCCTTGCTTCTAAACCATTAGATAAATGAATCACTCAGGGATCTTGGTAACAGTGTTAGATTCATAGAGCTGGGTGGGACTCAAGAACCTGCATTTCTGAGCTATTTCTCAGGTGATGCCTGTGCTGCTAGATATACAGGACCACATCTTTTTCAGTAGCCAGGCTCTGATTAACATTATTAGCATTAATCAGGACTCTGAGCTCTAAGAAAAAAGGCACAGAACAGGGCCTTTTCCCATCTAACCCAAGGGGAACAAAAGAACTAAACTCAGTCAACTTTCCACTGTTGAGGGTGATTGCCTAGTTGGTTAGTTCCTCCAGCAGCCCTGCCCTATCAATCAATTTGGGCATGTCCCCTCTCCCACCCCTCCCTGCCCTGCAGCTGCCCTTTTCAGAACTCATCTTTCTGTGCTCCATGACAAGGAGGTCTGGAAAAACAAAAGTGAAATGGAATTCCTTCTTTCAGGACAAGCCTGGTAAATGTTAAATGGCAAAGGGGTTGAGGCTTTTTTGGTTACACTTGAAGAAAAGTTCAGATTCTTCAAAGCTTTCTTCTGCTGTGCAGGATGCTAGAGGAAATATTTCATCTGAAATATCAGAGTGAGCTAGATTCAAATCCTAGTTCTGACCCTTAGAAAATAGGAGTGGTTACTCAGTACATTTCAATTCCTGCTCTTCTAGGAGGGTTGGTATTGCCTACAGGTCCTTTCCTGGCCTCACTCCTACCTTCTTAAGATCTGTACGCTACAGGAACAACATAGTCTCCCTCCCATTTCCTCTTTCCAGATCACTGTAACCCAAGCTCCCAGGAGTCTGATAGTAGTAAAATATGAGTGCTAATAGCCACAGTGTTATTAAGTAGAATCTTAAAAAGGGCTTGAAAACCCAGGTGATTAAAAAAAATCTGTACCTAATTTAACAGACATTAAAAATCCTAATCCTATTCTCCACTTCATTTCCAGCATCAATAACCTCCATTCCTACCTAACCCGAGGAAACAAGTATGATCCAGCTCTTCAACAGCAGCCTCTAAGACTTCTCCAGTCAAGGGTACAGTGTCCTTTGTGAGCTAACCCAGTGAGTGCCCTTGATGCCTTTTTTTTTTTTTTTTTCACATCTCCCAAGAGATAAGTCTGTTTACACCCTCCTAATGTTCTGCCAGCATCTTCACCCTTCTTCCTGTCTACAGTATCCACATGCGGGTCCTCACATGAAGTGGAGGAATTTGGGCTGATTCAGCTGCAACCCCCCCCCCCCCCAATGTCTTTCAAGAGTGCTCTTTACCTTTACACCTTTCCCTTGTTTCCTTTCCTCCAGCTCTCAGAAATCAGGTCCTCTCCACACCTAAAAAGGATCCCAATAACCTGCTTCATGACAAATCCAACTTTATATTCCTTGAAATACAAATTTGATATGGACCATTCCCCCTTGTCCTTGGGGGAATAATTCCACAAATATGACACAATCCTGGTCCTCCTTGGAGCTCACCAGCTATCTGTTGGGCGCTTCTACCGGATGACTACAGGCATTGTCCAGGGCTCCATCTGTCTCCTTTCTTCTTAAGCCACGGGTTGGGAGGCCTCCTTCATGCCACAGTTTAACTGTTAATCACTACACACACAGCTCTCCAACTCTATCCAGACTCAGCTCTTTTCCCAAGTTGCAGTCTCCTCTCTCCAACTAGCAACTAAGCATTTGTTTTTGTTGTGTTATTTAAGTAGGCTGCACACCCAACGTGGGGTTTGAATTCATGACCTGAGATCACAAGTATGATGCTCTGGGCTCCTGGGTGGCTCAGTTTATTAAGTGTCTGACTCTTGGTTTCAGCTCAGGTCATGATCTCACAGTTTCATGGGTTCAAGCCCCATGACAGGGTCTGTGCTGACAGTGCAGACAGAGCCTGCTTGGGATTCTGTCTCCCCTTCTCTCTCTCTGCCCCTCCCCCAACTCACACGGTCTCTCTCTCTCTCTCAAAATAAATAACTTAAAAAAAGATGTCTTTCTCCTCACCCCCCTTCAAGATCATTAAATTTTCTACCTAGTAGAATCCACTTTCTCTCAGTTCTATACATTTTTTCCTGCACATCTCATAAATGGGACTAGTTGGCTATGCAAATGAGACAGAGGGGTACAACTCCACACCTCTTGCCAGAATTTTTCAACAGTTTGACTTCTGCCCTTGCCTCCAGGCTCTCCCCTTTACAAGCCACACAATACACAAATGGATTATTTTTTATAACATTAGTTTTATCATGTTACTGCTCTAATTCCATATCTAGTTTTGCAGGCTTGTAAGATCAAATCCAAATGGCTTACTTGGCCCACCAGAGTCTGAACCCCTTTAATCTAGCTTTCCTTCCTGTTACTGCCCACCTCCTGGAAGCCGGATCCTGACCAGTCTCCCAATCATCTATACTGTATCCTACCCCCACCTTGCCTCTGTTCATGCTATACTTTTCCTTTCCAACCACCCAAGTATCTCCATATCTAGGTCATTCTAAACTTCTGCCAATGACTCTTCCCTCAACTATTTAGACATAAATGATCACTGACTTGACCAAACTTGGGCAGCATCCATTATAACATTCAGGTATACATTCTTCTACCTGTTTTACTAGTGAAACGGAGGTGGATCCTTGAAGATAGCAACCATGTCATATTCAGAATCAGAGGCTACCTGAGAAGTCATCCAAGCCTTGTCTAATGCCTATCTGCCTTCTATAGAATGCCCACAGCAAACAGTGCTCCAGCTTTTACTCCAGGGATAGGAAACTTACCCACTTTTTTTTTTTTTTTTTTAATATTCTCATCCTCCAGATCACAAAAGAACTTTAATGTTACACTTAGCCTTAAACCTATAGGCAACAGGTAGCCAGAGGCTTCTAAATCAGTAATGTTAACTTGCAAGATTTGACTTTTGAAGATGATTACTTTGGTGGTTATGATGAGGACAGACTTGGAAGGGAAAGAAGCAGAACAGCCAGGAGTCTGGGGACAAGACTGGGTGAGAATTAACAGAGGGCAAGACCCTAGGTGAGAATTAACAGGGGACTTAAAAAAAAAAAAAAAAAAAAGAAAGAAAAAAGGAATGGGTAGGACAGGGGAAACAAGATCCAAAAGCCATTGCTGAGGTAGACTGGGATTTGGTGACCAACTTCTAGAAGGGCCTTGGTGATGAATGTCACAGAGCAGAGGACTCCCAGTTGGCAGTGCAAGGGCTGCCCAGGAACAGACTGTACAGAGCCCACAGCTGTGGGCAGACTGTTTCTCCTAAGTCTCTTTTCTTTCCATCATTTTCAAGCCACAGCCTTCCCTCCAGATCACCAAGAGTCAGACTACAGTGTAAGTCACCACTGTTGTTCAAGTTACCACCGAAGATTCCTAGCCTTGTGATTTTTTTCTTCCCCTTTAGAAGGGCTACCTAAGCTCACTATTATTCAAGTATGATTTTTAGAACTTCAGTACCACCTGAGAGCTTGCTAGAAATATAAACTGTTAGGTCCCACTCTACACCCACTGAATCAGAATCTCTCTCGTAGAAGTCAGTATCTGTGTTTTACTTAATCTCCAGATGATTCTTAGTGCATGCTAAAGTTTGAGAAGCGCTGATCTAGCTAACCTTTCTAGATCTGGACTTTCAGTCCTATATCCGTTTTTCCATCATTGAATGGAAATTCTATCCCAAGTAAAATTTCAAGACTAAAATGTAAATTTACAAATGTGCCTCAGTAAGAAAAAAAGTTGGGAAACATTCTCTAGGGAAACCACATATACTTGAATGAATCACTTAAACAGAAGCTTTTAAAGATGCAATTCCGGGGCGCCTGGGTGGCTTAGTCGGTTAAGCATCCAACTTTCGCTTAGGTCATGATCTTGCGGTTCGTGGGTTCGAGCCCCGCGTCGGGCTCTGTGCTGACTGCCAGCTCAGAGCCTGGAGCCTGTTTCAGTCTGTGACTCCCTCTCTCTCTGACCCTCCCCTGCTCATGCTGTCTCTCTCCTAGAAATAAATAAAATATTTAAAAAAAAAAAAAGACGCAATTCCAAGTCACCCCCAGAAATTATTATAATCAAAGGTCAGATACCAATTTTCAGATGAGATCCTTAAAGATCTTGCCCCAAACTAGATAAATTAAAGACTTAATGGAACACCTAGAGGTTTGTTCACCCATTCCTTATAAGAACCTTTTTTTAATGTATATTTTTCAGTGAGAGAGAGAGAGAAGGAAGTAGGGAGAGAGGGAGGGAGGGAGAGAATGAATAGTCGGGGAGGGGCAAAGAGAGAGGGAGACACAGAATCTGAATCCGATTCCAGGCTCTGAGCTGTCAGCACAGAGCCTGACACGGGGCTCAAACCCATGAATTGCGAGATCATGACCTGAGCTGAAGTCAGACACTTAATGAACTGAGCCATCCAGGCGCCCCAAGAACCTCCTTACCATAAGGTGAAGTCGTAGCTATTTTACAAGACAGATACAAACCCTCACCCCACTTCTTCCTAAGGCCACTGTCAGGAAGCACAAATAAATTAATCCATCCTCTAACATAGAGTTTGGGCTTTCCCATAACAGGCTGTGATACCTGCCTTGCTCTAGTAGTGAAAACAACAATCTTATAAATGGTCGAGCTGTCCCGACAGACATATATTTTCTGAATGAACAATGTAATAGCTGCTGCTCAGGCGGGGCCTACTTTATGCCAGGCGCTAGGAGGCCAAGGAGGAAGACAGAGACAGTCAGCCCTCATGAGTCTGTGTTAAATAAGTAACACTTATTTAAATCTGAAATTACACTCGAGAAAAATACTGACAAAAAACATGGGTGCTGAGAAAGTCTATTTTAGCAAAGGAACCTGACACAGTTTGGATTAGTGGATTTCTACCAGGGCTGCAAATCACAACTCCCTGGGATAGCTTCTAACCACAGCAAAGCCCAAGCCCCAATCCACCCCAAACAATTCAGAACTCTGAACCCTGGCCACTGGATTTTAAAGATCGTTTGTTCCCCAGTTAATTCTGACATGCAGCCAAGGTAGAGAACCTCTGGTCTGGGGCATCATGTGATAGATGTTAGGGGCAGACAGGTCAATAACACAGTGCCTGCCCTCCAGAAGCTTACCATCATGTGGAAGAGACCCAAGTAAACAGAGGTATCAGCAAATTGCTCTGGTGACACAAAGCAAAGAAACCTCAGATGTTGGATAGTGTTTCCCTTGGTACAAGGATGGGAAAGTGATCTCAGAGAGCTATATAAGCTAAATGTCAGCAAAGTTTGTTTTCTAACGATGGGTCCTTAGGCTGAATCATCCTTTGTATCTTTTAATTTTTTTAATGTTTGTTTATTTTTGAGAGAGGGGACAGAGAGAGAGAGAGACAGAGAGAAGAGACCATGAGCAGGGAAAGGGCAGAGGACTGGAGACACAGAATCTGAAGCAGGCTCCAGGCTCTGAGCTGTCAGCACAGAGCTTGACGTGGAGCCTGAACTCACGAACCGTGAGATCATGACTTGACCCAAAGTTGGACGCTTAACCAACTGAGCCACCCAACCGCCCCTCTTTGTGTCTTCTAATAGGTCTTAAATTTGCAGTTAAAAAAAATTTTTTTTTAACATTTATTCATTTTTGAGAGACACAGAGAAACAGAATGTGAGTGGAGGAGGGGCAGAGAGAGAGGAAGACACGGAATGCGAAATAGGCTCCAGGGTCTGAGCTGTCAGCACAGAGCCCAATGCAGGGCTCAAACTCATGAACCATGAGATCCTGACCTGAGCTAAAGTCAGACGCTCAACTGACTGAGCCACCCACGTACCCGTTTTTTTGTTATATTTAAATAAAAATTAACTTTAGTCTGTGAGGGCATCACAGAAGTTATTTAAGCTGCCTTTTGACACTCAATCAGGAAGGAGTTTTCTGAGGAAACAATCTTAAAGATGCAGTCTGAAATATGAACAAGAAGAGTTAGGAGGAAATGTATATCAGGCAAGGGAAGGGTCTGTGCAAAGGTCCAGAAGCAGAAAAAAGCATAGGGTCTTACAAAAACTGAGAGGAAGTCGACAGCAAGGCGAAGAGCAAAAATGGATGAA